CAGTGGATCCTCACAGTGGGGCAATTCACAGCTTTGGTTCTGTTCAACTCACAACAGAAAAAAAGATCTCAGCCCACTTACTCCAGGGAGCCAAGGCTTGAGAACTAAGTTAATAACAGGGGCTTGAGGGTGGGAAGGGGGAGGTTAATCCAATAAAAATTAGCTTTACTCTTCCTGTTTTTTATCTTTCTCATAGTTGATGTCCTGGGGGACCATAGCACCCTCTTTACAGTTGAGGAAACTGAGGATCAGGAAAATAAACTGACTTGCCCAAGGTCCCAACAAGGATTCAGTGCCATTTTCAAATAATATTCATCATTGAGATAATTTTTTTCAGGTTATAAAGCTAATCCATTCTCACTGTAGAAAATATGAAGAGTATTAGGTTAGTGCCGCTGTAATCTCCAGGAGAGATCCTAGAGACAACTGCTCACACGTGCTCAGACATAGGCTTAGGGTGTAGCAGGGGTGCTGCTGCTCTGCTCAGAACAGAAAATGCCAGCTGCTGAACTCACCCCAATCCACCCCAGGGCTCTGGGCTGGCCTAAGCATCCCATCACATGTTCAGGTTCTAGGTTCCCATGATTTGGTCCATCTGCATTTCCAACGTTTAGCTAAACCTCTGGTTACTCATGAAGGTTTGGCCCATGGTCATTGTGGCCACAGTATAGGACTATTGTGCTGACAGACTGCTCATCCCCTGCCTACATTTCACACAGCCTACTCACTCCATAGATGTCTCCAAGAAAGAAACACCCTGGGTGACATGGCCTCTCTCCTGAGCGCACACCCACAGGAGGACGTGGTATCTAGGAAAGAGCCAGGCTTGGAGCCTAGGAGCCTCTGCTGCTCCTGCAAAGGGGATGTGTCTCACCTGGTTGCTGTGAGGATTAAAACAGCCCAGGAGCCTGTTTCGCACACAGCATGTACTTTGTGTGTATTCCCCTTTCTCCCAGTCCTCTGTCTGCTGATGTACGTACCCCAGCAGGGCTGCCCAGAACCTTGGAGNTTCTGGAATGGCCATCAGAGCTGTCATCGTATTACCCTTGATGTCCTGAATGTCATCAAAATGTCTTCCTTTCAATATTTCCTGTATCTTCGGGTAAAGAAAGAAGTGACTGGGGGCCAGACCAGGTGAGCGGGGAGGGTGTTCCAATACAGTTATTTGTTTACTGGCTAAAAACTCCCTCACAGACAGTGCCATGTGAGCTGGTGCGTTGTCGTGATGCAAGAGCCATGAATTGTTGGTGAAAAGTTCAGGTCATCTAACTTTTTCACGCAGCCTTTTCAGCACTTCCAAATAGTAAATTTGGTTAACTGTTTGTCCAGTTGGTACAAATTCATAATGAATAATCCCTCTGATATCAAAAAAAGGTTAGCGATATCATTGCAACAAGTTCGCAAACTTAATTGTCAGACCTCTTAAGCAGCAAGGGAGTCTGGGAAAGTTTAGCCATCCTACCCCTGCAATACAGGGGTGTGAAGGGAGCAAAGGTAGTGGACATGGACCCTGAGTGCCAACACACCACTCTTTCCATAAGACCCCCAAAGATCTTCTGGACCCTGGAAATGACCGAGAATGAACCCACAGAAAGTCTCTGGAAAGGAAAGAAAGACCATGGAGCTGCAAGTCCAGGCAATCAAGCTAATCCTAAATCAGGTTAGAAACAAAGACTTCTACTTCATATTGGTCCCACCCAAGTCCTAGGAAGACCCTCTGGGTTGTGAGCTACTAAGAGGCCCAGGAAGAATACGGAAACCTTGACACAGGTGGGAGACACTGAACTGGAAATCTGGTGGGAGCAGGATAAGGGTAGATCAGTTGGACAGAGTTAAAAGTTCCCATTTCGAACTCAACTGGGGCAGTTCTGCTCTTACTCATTTTATATAGAGATTTCCCCATAAGATTTTATTTGGAAATGACACAACATATAAATAATAAATAAATAAATAACAAGACAGGAGGGGGCGGAGTTTGAAAACCACTGTCTTGCACAGCACCTGAGAGCCCACCCATCCACCCAGTCTTCAGCATGTCAGTGACACACTCACATATTACACATAATGAAAACACCTGTCAGGGTGCAGGAAGCACCCCATTCACCAGACCTTGAATAGACAGGAGCAGAACAAAGGCCCCATGGCCTACTGACTCCCCCACATCTAGAACCAGGAGTGAACAGGGAGAAGAGCAGCAGGAAGGAAGGAAAAAAAAAGGGTCAGGATCCAAAGATGTGGGCCGGCCCTGGAGTAGGGCCCAGGAGTGAAGCAGTGACAGTACTCAGAGGGTGTGAGCAAAACAGCAGTTTGCCTGATATATACACATTATGGGGGAAAGTCTACACAAAAAAAGTATTTAATTATTTTCACATAATTCATTTACAATTATTTTCATACAGCTCATTATGTTACAAAACTGTACACCTACCCCAAGCATTGTTGGATAACCCAAAGTCACTCCTTGGAAAGGAAAGAATCAACACTGGCTTTGATTCTTAGCCTCTTCTCCTGGGTTGGGCCTATCAAGGCCAGACCAGAGCATAGATGACAAGAATGGTCATCCTTCAAGTCCAAGGGGTCAGGGTCTTGGTCTGGCTCCTCCAGTCATTACAGCCATTACAGAAGGGGTGTCTCTGTTTGAAAAGCCGGAACCAGCAGCCAGAACACAGGAGTCCAGAGAGAAAGGCAGGCACTGCTAGCCACCATCTGGCTGTGGTGAGAGAACCTGGGGCGAGGGAGCCGCAACTCAGCAGAGATGTGCCAGTCCAGAACTGGGACCTGGAGTGCTGGGACCGCTGCACTAGAAGGCAAAGGAAAAGAGCTCAGGGCACAGCCGGAGTCACTGGATACTCCAGGGCCCCCCACACTAGCACAGCTTCATTTCATCTCCTTTCTTTAAAGACCAGGACAGATAACACATTAACAAGTTTCTTGTGTCTTTGGCCCTCGTTGCTGCTGCTACAACAAAACCAAATAATACAGGCGCTAAGACTAGCACACTGGGAGACGCTCCCTGGCTACCTGGTTCTTGATTCAAGGATTATTAACACACTAGGTGTAAGAAAGCCCAGTGCAGATTGGTTTATTATTAACCTCTAGGCAATCTCAGGCAGGGACCCTCCTCACTGACTACCCGCAGAGCACAGCCAGGCCAGGAGGAGGCCTCCCTGGGTCTCTGGCTGTCTCTCCTACCCCAGCTCAGGTCTGGTATGAACACCACACAAGGCATCCCAAGTCAAGACAGCATGAGCTGAGGGGCCCATGACCTCAGGCCCACCTGGCCCTTTCAGCTCAGTTCAGGTGGAAAGGAGCCAACTCCATGGCCACCTTGAAAGGAAATCACCCAGATTGAAAAAGTCCTACACAGGTCAATTTATCCCTCCATCGATGAAGGATGGCTGGAGGAGTCAGGCACCATGGACAGACAACACATACACCAAAAGGATCCTTCCCTGTTCTCCAGGTCTCATTTGACTGCCAGCTTCTGTCCATTTAAAAATGCAAATTCCACAGCACATGGGGTGCCTGCTTCAAACCCTGCAGTGGCTCCCTCCTTCCCTTAGGCAGGAGACTCTCACAGTCACTGCAGCTGCTTCCCTTTCTGGACCCACCTCATTCCCCTCCCCCTTGACCTCTCAGGCACCAGCCAGAATTACTTTATGTGGGTTTCTTTAACATGCTCACTCTCTCCACGCCAGGCTTGCACACTGTTCCCTTTGTTTGGAGCGCCTTCCCTTCTTGTTCAGCTGTTTATTCATTCATTCAGCGTTGACGACTGTGCCTGTGCAGGCCCTGGGTCCCTGAATCTCCTGATCCAGGCTCAGAAGCTCTAGTCACTGGGCTCCACTTTGTCAGGCTTCTACTCAGCAGCCGCCAAAAAGTCCCTTTCTCCAGGAGGCCCTTCCTAACCCCTCACCAGAAATTAAGTGCTAACTTCCTACACACACACATGCACATTCCCATAGCACCCTACACTTCGCTTACAGATAATAAACTCAAAATCCCGCTTCCTCCCCAGACTGTGACCCAGGAAAGCAGAGGGCCAATGTCTGTCTGGTTCACTCCAAAGCCACAGCACCCAACACAACAGCAGGCACACAGATGGAACACAACAAATTGGGGTTGAAATGAATTAGATCCTGGATCCCAGGCCTCTCCCATGTAGTTCTTCCATGAGCTTTACGGCCCACACACCAGGCTGGGTCACCACCTTTGGCTCCTCTATCCACCTCCAATCCACTTCCTAGGCATCTCCGAGTGTGTACATTCTGAGGTCGCCACTACGCTCCCTGTAAGATGTGAGGGCTGAACAAGCTCACTCCCACAGAGTCGCTTCCAGCTCTGCAAAACTATGACACTTTCCCTGATCTGTGATGTAGAAAGGGCTAGCAAGTCATGTTTCTTACAACCTTTATTCCAGCCTCATTCTATCATACTTTAATATGTTAACTTTTAACAGATTCACCCATGACCCGGCCACCACCACCATTTGTTCTTTAACATATATAAACATGTTGCTCTTCCCCTGACTGGAAGCATTGAACCTCCACCCCTGCGGCTGTGTGATGGACATTCCTGGGCTACTCCCCTGCTCCCCACCTGGACTCGGGGGGGGGTGAGGATGGACGGAGGTGACGGGCTCCTGGCCGGCCTGACCCAGCCCTGCCCACACCACCCACCTCACCTCGCCTCACCTCTCCTCCAGTCGGACCCACAGGTCACTGAACTGCCGGAGCCGCTGCCTCCGCTGCAGCCGCCTCCGCTTCTTCCGGAGCTTCCTCCCAGCCTCGCCCGGCATGTTGGCACTTCCGGTCACAGACACGTGGGGTGGCCACAGTGAATACACCTTCGACCCAGCTTCCGGTACCAATGCTTCCAGAGCGGGCACTTCCGGAGCAAATATGGCAGAGGAGGTGGGCTGCGATGAGGGACTTTTATTCTCTCTGTAAACAGGGGTGGAAGGAAGAAGGATTTGAAAGGTCATACGGCATGGCGCCCTCCCTCCGCCTTAGGCTCAGGACCTCACAGGTGATGCTCAAGTTCAAGCCAGCTAGGGAGGCCAGGGTTGTTGAAGCCACCTCGAGAAATGATCACTTAGCCACTTTAATTTTCCCTCAACATACCCCCCTCTACTTATTCCAAATTCTCCCGCCCCGGGGGAGGAATAAAAGGTTTCTTTTTAGCTGCCCTTCCCTGAATGGGTCACCAATGTCTAGAAAGGCACTGAAGATTATAGCATTTAAAGAGAGGTGAAGTCTTTAAATGCCATTTACTTAGAACAATTGAAGTAGCCGTTAATCCTGTTAACCCCTCATGTACCCTTTTAAGGGCTCTACTCAGAAAGAGGGTCTTTGGCTGCTGGTAGCCACCCCCTCCCCAGGTGAGAGACTCCTAGTGTTCACAGGGCTGGCTTCTAACCACCTTACCCCAGGTCTGACCATAAACCATCTTTCCCAAAGGAAACGTGTTCACAACTGATGAGAAACTCAAACTTGCTTCTAGTTTTCCCCTAAACTAGACTATAGTCCCCAAAAAAGATGTCTTCCAGTGAGAAATAAGCCATTAGAAGAATCAAATTTCTTCCTAGCACCAAATGTTTGTCAAAGGGGGAGAGGCAATAAGCGAGGAACCTCAGCCACTAGAGGTCAATCCCATTGTCTCCTGATGCAGGCAGTGAGGAGCGGAGGAAGGGGAGTAGTGGATGTGCCACATGCATCCTCCAGCAGTGTGGGAGCAGCAGACCGGCATATGAAAGAACTCAACCACTCTGCTCTGATGGTTCCTCTATGATGGTGCCTCTATGAACCACCCACCTGGCAGAAGCAGGCCTCAGTTCTGACCCACAACCTGACAGAACCTGAGAGATCAGTTAGTATTCGTGGCCCTGTGTGAGGAAAGGAGGAGGCATAAGATTTTTTAAAAGGAAAAGATGCAGGTTGAGGGGGGAAAAAAAAAGGTAAAAGAAGGGAATTCCTCAAATGACAAAGAAAGAAAAAAACTCCCCTACTCTGAACCGGAATCTGGAACCCCTGAAATAGTCATTCATAGTTAAAAGGCCCCTGGAGGACAAGAAT